TTACATTAGTCATCTTCCACATATCAGACACTACACCTTTTTGAAGAGATAAATTAAAAATATTAGTTAATGGTTCACAGACTTCCATTTTGCATTCCTTTAGAACCCTTGAAAAAACCTCATCAGGACCCGGTGACTTATTTTGCTTCAGTCGGTCTATCTGCTTCACAACCATTTCACTAGTGACTGTGATGTTACATAATTTATCTTCTTCTGGCCCACTATAAAAATTAATTACCGGAATATTATTAGTGTCTTCCTGCGTAAAAACCGAGAGAAAATAATTATTTAAAATCGAGCACATTTCATTCTCTTTATCAGTAAGATGCCCATAGTTATTTTTAAGGGGACCTATCTTATCTCTGACTTTTGTTCTATATACCTGGAAAAAACTTTTTGGGTCAGTTTTAGAATCCCTAGCAACTTTAATTTCATAGTCCCTTTTAGCTTTCTTATCCCCTTTTTAATGTCCCTCTTAATGTCAATATACTGATTCATAAGATGACCCTCGCCTCTTTTGATACGCCTATAAATTCCTTTCTTATGCCCTAGTAGATATTTCAGCCTATTATTCATCCATTTTGGGTCATTTCTATTTGATCTAATTTCTTTATAAGGGATAAACGTTCTTTGAGCAGTATGTATTGTGTTCAGAAAACTGTCATATTGATAGCTCTCTTCGTTACCCCAGTCAACAGATGATAAGTGTTCTCTAAGCCCATCGTAATCTGCTAAGCGAAAATCTGGGACTGTTACTGAGTTATCCCTACTATCATACTTCCATTCAATTCTAAATGTAATTGATTTGTGGTCGCTAGCACCCAGGTTCTCTGAAACTTCTAAATTATTAACAAGGGATTCATTGTTTGCCAGAACTAAGTCAAGCAGGTTATTACCCCTTGTAGGTTCTGTCACAAACTGCTTCAGAAAACAATCCTGAACTACTTCTAAGAAGTCGTATGATTCTAAATTCCCAGTCAAGAAATTCCAATCAATATGACTAAAGTTAAAGTCTCCTAGAATTACTACATTATCGTGCCTTGTGGCCCTAACAATTTCCTCCCATAGTAGTCTCCCCTGGTCCCTATCTAAATTTGGGGGACGGTATATCACACCTAAAATTAATTTTTCATGCCCCTCTGAAAATTCTATCCAAACAGACTCTGTATGTGTTACTTCAGACTTAATACCCGTTTTTATGCAACAGTTCAAGCGATCTCGGACATACAATGCCACCCCACCCCCCTTCCTGATACTTCTATCTACTTGGAACAATTTAAAACCCTGAATGTGACATTCTGCAGGCATGTCCCGACTTTTTGAATTAAACCACGTCTCAGTAATGGCAAATACATCTATGTTACCTGCACTAGCAACTAGTCTCAACTCGTCCATCATATTCCGAGCACTGCGACTATTTGTGTAATAAATACTTAAAGACCCTCCTCTCTTTACCCTTCCTGCTCCTTTCTGTTATTCAGCTAAACCTATTACTGTCCTTGTCAATTAGTGCCACCTATTTTTAAAACTACACAACGTTTTAGCCTGAATAACTGTACTCGGGAGTTTGTTCCGCTCATCCACAACTCTATTACCAAATCAGTGCTTCCCTATATCCTTCCTGAGTCTGAATTTTTCCAACTTGAAACCATTGCTGCGAGTCCTGTCTTGGCTGGAAATTTTCAGCACGCTATTTACATCAAGATATGATGTAGGGCGAAATGACAGTAGTTTGTTGGATTATGTATTGGTAGATAAAAGACTGTTGAGTAGACTTCAGGATGTACATGTTTATAGAGGGGCCACAGATATGTCAGATCACTTTTTAGTTGTAGCTACACTGAGAGTAAAAAGTAGATGGGATACAAGGAGAATAGAAGCATCAGGGAAGAGAAAGGTGAAGGTTTATAAACTAAAAGAGGAGGCAGTTAGGGTAAGATATAAACAACTATTGGAGGATAGTAGATGAATGGTTCAGAGAACCGACATGTTGTTAAATTAGACACATGTGCAACTCTTGGGTACCTTACTGAGGAAACGTTTCGCCACACAGTGGCTTCATCAGTCCATACAAAGGAAAATCTTGAAGAACAGGAGGAGAATGAGGCAATCAGTCCCTCAACCTTGAGTCGATGTGGTCATTATATTCAAGATTGATGGACTGACCACATCGAGTCAAGGTTGAGGGACTGATTACCTCATTCTCCTCCTGTTCTTCAAGTTTCTCCTTTGTATGGACTGATGCAGCCACTGTGTGGCGAAACGTTTCCTCAATAAAGATACCCAAGAGTTGCACATGTGTCTAATTTATTGGAGGATAGATGGGCTAATGAGAGCATAGGCAATGGGGTCGAAGAGGTATGGGGTAGGTTTAAAAATGTAGTGTTAAAGTGTTCAGCAGAAGTTTGTGGTTACAGGAAACTGGGTATGGGAGGGAAGAGGGGCGATTGGTGGAATGATGATGTAAAGAGAGTAGTAAGTGAGAAAAAGTTAGCATATGAGAAGTTTTTACAAAGTAGAAGTGATGCAAGGAGGGAAGAGTATATCGAGAAAAAGAGAAAGGTTAAGAGAGTGGTGAAGCAATGTAAAAAGAGAGCAAATGAGAGAGTGGGTGAGATGTTATCAACAAATTTTGTTGAAAATAAGAAAAAGTTTTGGAGTGAGATTAACAAGTTAAGGAAGCCTAGAGAACAAATGGATGTGTCAGTTAAAAATAGGAGAGGAGAGTTATTAAATGGAGAGTTAGAGGTATTGGGAAGATGGAGGGAATATTTTGAGGAATTGTTGAATGTTGATGAAGATAGGGAAGCTGTGATTTCGTGTATAGGGCAAGGAGTGAGGAAGAACCAGTTGTGAGTGTGGGTTGAATTAGACACATGTGCAACTCTTGGGTATCTTTATTGAGGAAACGTTTCGTCACACAGTGGCTTCATCAGTCCATACAAAGGAGAAACTTGAAGAACAGGAGGAGAATGAGGTAATCAGTCCCTCAGCCTTGAGTCGATGTGGTCAGTCCATCAAGATTGATGGTATGTAAAAGAAGAAAATTGAAAGTGAATACAGGAAAGAGTAAGGTTATGAGGATAACAAAAAGATTAGGTGATGAAAGATTGGATATCAGATTGGAGGGAGAGAGTATGGAGGAGGTGAATGTATTCAGATATTTGGGAGTGGACGTGTCGGCGGATGGGTCTATGAAAGATGAGGTGAATCATAGAATTGATGAGGGGAAAAGGGTGAGCGGTGCCCTTAGGAGTCTGTGGAGACAAAGAACTTTGTCCTTGGAAGCAAAGAGGGGAATGTATGAGAGTATAGTTTTGCCAACGCTCCTGTATGGGTGTGAAGCATGGGTGATGAATGTTGCAGCGAGGAGAAGGCTGGAGGCAGTGAAGATGTCATATCTGAGGGCAATGTGTGGTGCGAATATAATGCAGAGAATTCGTAGTTTGGAAGTTAGAAGGAGGTGCGGGATTGCCAAAACTGTTGTCCAGAGGGCTGAGGAAGGGTTGTTGAGGTGGTTCGGACATGTAGAGAGAATGGAGCGAAACAGAATGACTTCAAGAGTGTATCAGTCTGTAGTGGAAGGAAGGCGGGGTAGGGGTCGGCCTAGGAAAGGTTGGAGGGAGGGGGTAAAGGAGGGTCTTGGACTTCCAGCAGGCATGCGTGAGCCTGTTTGATAGGAGTGAATGGAGACAAATGGTTTTTAATACTTGACGTGCTGTTGGAGTGTGAGCAAAGTAACATTTATGAAGGGATTCAGGGAAACCGGCAGGCCGGACTTGAGTCCTGGAGATGGGAAGTACAGTGCCTGCACTCTGAAGGAGGGGTGTTAATGTTGCAGTTTAAAAACTGTAGTGTAAAGCACCCTTCTGGCAAGACAGTGATGGAGTGAATGATGGTGAAAGTTTTTCTTTTTCGGGCCACCCTGCCTTGGTGGGAATCGGCCAGTGTGTTAATAATAATAATAATAATAATAATAATAATAATAATAATATTTATTCCTGTTTTTCATTTATTCACCTCGATCATACCCCCCCCCCTAATTCTACGCCTTTCGAGAGAGTGATCCATACTATAACTGATCCAGAATCCAAGTTATCCAGGATCCAAGTTATCCAGGACCCAAGTGATCCACCATCCAGGTGATCCAGGATCCAAGTTTCTGAGTATTTACTACGATACTCTAAAACATCCACAGTCTTCACTATGAGAATGATCCAAGTTGATCCTCAACTTTCTGAGTTCTCAACACAGTACTCACCAACATACACATTATTTTTTGGTAAAATACTACAACGAAGTTCATACAGGTAAATCATGAACTACTGAAACTGTAACCTCTGTGTACTACCCAAATGGAATTCCCTAGGCTTTGCATAAGCCTCACGGGTTTAATGCTTCCCCACGAATATAGTAATATAAATATAATAATAAAGAACTTCGGAAGGTTATAAAACAATACAGTCGCATAAACACAATATTTTTTTTATACACTGCTTAAGAATTCATAAAATATACCTGAAAATATCCACGTACAGAGAAATTGAAAATCTGTTTCAAGTCTTTCACACTTACAGCAGATTTCTTCAAATGATTTGACAAAAAAAAAAAAGTTCCAATAACAGGGGCTGCCCTTTGAGCTGATTACCCTATTTACTGGTCGCTGTACCCGTGTGGGCTATTATTGTGAAGGTTTGAAAGAGCAACACAGACGCTACCCTTTGTTTCCCTGCTAGATATCTCAACACAAATGCAGTAAAATGTAATTCTTTACTGAAGGTTTCTCGCCCGCTCAATGTTCTATATCAAGTTACAAAGTATTTGAGAGACTCGATAAAACCTACAGTGTGGGCGAAACGTCTTTGATAAAGGATCCCATTGTACAGTATATGTATTTCTTTTACAAGCATGTCGGTATTCACTACCATTTCTCTCTATCGTTAAATATTCCCTGAGTAGCCTACCCTCCCCCCCCCCTTCTCTCTCCCAGCGAGACTCACAGCTCATGTCGAGGGTGACGGTGGCGGCGACGGGGACGGAGAGGTTGGAGTTGGAGGCCTGGCAGGTGAGGACACGGTAGAGGTAGTCCCTGGTGAGGGAGGGCAGGTGCAGTGTGTTGCTGGTTACTTCACCCCGCCGCACTTCACTCACGTCGTCAAGTAACTTCTCCTCATGGAACCAGGATACCATGGGCCGGGGTCGACCTGTAAGGAAGAGAGTGAAGGGTGTGTTTTGATTTTCTGCCTTTATGTCGATTTTGGTGAAAAAAAAATGTGCACTAATTTTTTTTTTTTGGTGGGGGGAGCTTGAGTGGGATTTCTGGAGAGAAAAAAAGGGAGAGGCTTGAAGAACTTTCCATGTTGGTAAGTAAGACACACAAGCAACAGTTACGCATCTTTATTCCGAATTGTATCGCCTACACAGTAGGCTTATCCACTCGAGTACAGAAAGTAGCCAGGAACAGTTGAGATGTGATCTTCACATTGTTGCAGACTATGGAACAGAAGTCTTCTCCAGGCTGAGGGACTGACTACATCAAATCTACGTCTTCAGGGGTGATGGACTGATTACATCCTCACATCTCTACTGTTCCTGACTACTTTCTGTACTCGACTGAAGAAGCCTATTTTGTAGGCGAAACGTTTCGGAATAGCGTTGCCTAACTGTTGCCTATGTGTCTTACCAACCTGTAGGTATTGTATACCATTATGATATTAAACTTTCCATGTGAGGAATTTGTGAAGTAAAAGATTTTTAATTCAGCAGATTTTAAGGGAACTCTAAAAACAAAGGCATGTAACTATTTCTACTGCTGATAATACTGCCATCACTACTACTGCTACTGCTTCTTCTGCTGCTATTAGTACTATTACTATTTCGTCTCCTACTACTACTACTATTACTCTACTAGTAGCAGTAGTAATAGTAGCTGCAGCTGCTTCTGCTATTATTATTACTACTACTACTGCTAATGTTACTATCAGTGCTACTGTTATGTACTACCACCACCATTATCACTGCTACTGCTGCTTCTGTTGATACTACTACTACTACTACTACTACTACTACTGCTACTACTACTACTACTACTACTACTACTACTACTACTACTACTACTACTACCACTACTGTTACTACTGTTGGTACTGCTGCTGATACTGCTACCGCTACTACTACTACTACTACTATTACTACTATTGCTGTTGCTGCAGTTGCTACTACCAGTACTAGTACTGCTGCTGTTACATATATTTACTACTTCGGCTGTGACAATAAACACATGTACTGAAGAATTGTACCAGAACTAACTGTCAAGCGAAATTCAATTTAACTGTTAGTGTTGGGTACAAACGATTACTTCTTTGTGTCTGACAAAGTTGCCTATCCACAAGTTGGTGTTGCCACGAGCCACTCTGAATACAACCACGGCAAATGTCTTTTTTTTAGTAAAGAATGGGAAATACCGACAACAGGTGATTCAGAAGCAATTTACGCACGAAAAATATATATTATAGTGTGGATGGCATTGTGAAATAAGCTCATTGTGGATGATGAAGCCTCATATGGTAGGAAATCATTATGTAGTGTTGCAAGCTCATTGTGGGTGAAGAAGCTCTCATTGTGGGTGATGAAGCCTCATTGTGTGATGAAGCCCTCATTGTGATGAATGAAGCCTCATTGTGGGTGATGAAGCCTCATTGTGGATGATGAAGTCTCATTGTGGATGATGAAGCCTCATTGTGGGTGATGAAGCCTCATTGTGGGTGATGAAGCCTCATTGTGGGTGATGAAGCCTCATTGTGGATGATGAAGCCTCATTGTGTGATGAAGCCTCATTGTGGTGATGAAGCCTCATTGTGGATGATGAAGCCTCATTGTGGGTGATGAAGCCTCATTGTGGGTGATGAAGCCTCATTGTGGATGATGAAGCCTCATTGTGGGTGATGAAGCCTCATTGTGGGTGATGAAGCCTCATTGTGGATGATGAAGCCTCATTGTGGATGAAGCCTCATTGTGGGTGATGAAGCCTCATTGTGGGTGATGAAGCCTCATTGTGAATGAAGCCTCATTGTGGGTGATGAAGCCTCATTGTGGATGATGAAGTTTCATTGTGGGTGATGAAGCCTCATTGTCGATGATGAAGCCTCATTGTGAGTGATGAAGCCTCATTGTGGGTGATGAAGCCTCATTGTGGATGAAGTCTCATTGTGGAATGCATGAAGCCTCATTGTGGGTGATGAAGCCTCATTGTGGATGATGAAGCCTCATTGTGGGTGATGAAGCCTCATTGTGGGTGATGAAGCCTCATTGTGGATGATGAAGCCTCATTGTGGGTGATGAAGCCTCATTGTGGTGGTGAGATGAAGCCTCATTGTGGATGATGAAGTCTCATTGTGGGTGATGAAGCCTCATTGTGGGTGATGAAGCCTCATTGTGGGTGATGAAGCCTCATTGTGGGTGATGAAGCCTCATTGTGGATGATGAAGTCTCATTGTGGGTGATGAAGCCTCATTGTGGATGATGAAGTCTCATTGTGGATGATGAAGCCTCATTGTGGATGAAGCCTCATTGTGGGTGATGAAGCCTCATTGTGGGTGATGAAGCCTCATTGTGAATGAAGCCTCATTGTGGGTGATGAGGCCTCATTGTGGATGATGAAGTCTCATTGTGGGTGATGAAGCCTCATTGTCGATGATGAAGCCTCATTGTGAGTGATGAAGCCTCATTGTGGATGAAGTCTCATTGTGGATGATGAAGCCTCATTGTGGGTGATGAAGCCTCATTGTGGATGATGAAGCCTCATTGTGGATGATGAACCCTCATTGTGGATAATGAAGCCTCATTGTGGGTGATGAAGCCTCATTGTGGGTGATGAAGCCTCATTGTGGGTGATGAAGCCTCATTGTGGATGATGAAGTCTCATTGAGGATGATGAAGCCTCATTGTGGATGAAGCCTCATTGTGGGTGATGAAGCCTCATTGTGGGTGATGAGGCCTCATTGTGGATGATGAAGCCTCATTGTGGATGATGAAGCCTCATTGTGGATAATGAAGCCTCATTGTGGGTGATGAAGCCTCATTGTGGGTGATGAAGCCTCATTGTGGGTGATGAAGCCTCATTGTGGATGATGAAGCCTCATTGTGGATGATGAAGCCTCATTGTGGGTGATGAAGCCTCATTGTGGGTGATGAAGCCTCATTGTGGATGATGAAGCCTCATTGTGGATGATGAAGCCTCATTGTGGATGATGAAGCCTCATTGTGGATAATGAAGCCTCATTGTGGGTGATGAAGCCTCATTGTGGGTGATGAAGCCTCATTGTGGGTGATGAAGCCTCATTGTGGATGATGAAGCCTCATTGTGGGTGATGAAGCCTCATTGTGGATGATGAAGCCTCATTGTGGGTGATGAAGCCTCATTGTGGGTGATGAAGCCTCATTGTGGATGATGAAGTCTCATTGTGGGGTGTGATGAAGCCTCATTGTGAGGTGATGAAGCCTCATTGTGGGTGATGAAGCCTCATTGTGGATGATGAAGCCTCATTGTGGATGATGAAGCCTCATTGTGGATGATGAAGCCTCATTGTGGTATGAAGCCTCATTGTGGGTAGAGAAGCCTCATTGTGGTGATGAAGCCTCATTGTGGGTGATGAAGCCTCATTGTGGTGATGAAGCCTCATTGTGGGTGATGAAGCCTCATTGTGGATGATTGAAGCCTCATTGTGGGTGATGAAGCCTCATTGTGGGTGATGAAGCCTCATTGTGGATGATGAAGCCTCATTGTGGTGAGAAGCCCATTGTGGTGATGAAGCCTCATTGTGGATGAAGTATCATTGTGGATGATGAAGCCTCATTGTGGGTGATGAAGCCTCATTGTGGGTGATGAAGCCTCATTGTGGATGATGAAGCCTCATTGTGGGTGATGAAGCCTCATTGTGGGTGATGAAGCCTCATTGTGGATGATGAAGTCTCATTGTGGGTGATGAAGCCTCATTGTGGGTGATGAAGCCTCATTGTGGGTGATGAAGCCTCATTGTGGGTGATGAAGCCTCATTGTGGGTGATGAAGCCTCATTGTGGATGATGAAGCCTCATTGTGGATGATGAAGTCTCATTGTGGGTGATGAAGCCTCATTGTGGATGAAGCCTCATTGTGGATGAAGCCTCATTGTGGATGAAGCCTCATTGTGGATGATGAAGCCTCATTGTGGATGATGAAGTCTCATTGTGGATGATGAAGCCTCATTGTGGGTGATGAAGCCTCATTGTGGGTGATGAAGCCTCATTGTGAATGAAGCCTCATTGTGGGTGATGAGGCCTCATTGTGGATGATGAAGTCTCATTGTGGGTGATGAAGCCTCATTGTCGATGATGAAGCCTCATTGTGAGTGATGAAGCCTCATTGTGGGTGATGAAGCCTCATTGTGGATGAAGTCTCATTGTGGATGATGAAGCCTCATTGTGGGTGATGAAGCCTCATTGTGGATGATGAAGCCTCATTGTGGATGATGAAGCCTCATTGTGGATGATGAAGCCTCATTGTGGATAATGAAGCCTCATTGTGGGTGATGAAGCCTCATTGTGGGTGATGAAGCCTCATTGTGGGTGATGAAGCCTCATTGTGGATGATGAAGCCTCATTGTGGGTGATGAAGCCTCATTGTGGATGATGAAGCCTCATTGTGGGTGATGAAGCCTCATTATGGATGATGAAGCGTCACTGTGGATGATGAAGCCTCACTGTGAGTGTTGAAACCTCACTGAGTGATGAAGCCTCACTGTGAGTGTTGAAGCCTCACTGTGGGTGATGAAGCCTCACTGTGAGTGTTGAAGCCACACTGTGAGTGTTAAAGTCTCACTGTGAGTGTTGAAGCCTCACTGTGAGTGTTGAAGCCTTACTGTGAGTGTTGAAGCCTCACTGTGAGTGTTAAAGCCACACTGTGAGTGTTGAAGCCTCACTGTGAGTGTTGAAACCTTACTGTGAGTGTTGAAGCCTCACTGCGAATGTTGAAGCCTCAATATGAGTGTTGAAACCTCACTGTGAGTGTCGAAGCCTCACTGTGAGTGTTGAAGCCTCACTGTGAGTGTTGAAGCCTCACTGTGAGTGTTGAAGCTTCACTGTGAGTATTGAAGCCTCACTGTGAGTGTTGAAGCCTCACTGTGAGTGTTGAAGCCTCACTGTGAGTGTTGAAGCCTCACTGTGAG